ATCCTCCCTTGACATAATAACCGTTGCCCGACCCTTGTCAGGGCGGGAGATAATAATGTCCGGATTTTTCCTAAGCTCTCTCATTACTTTGAGGTGCTCTCGTGTGAGTGAAAAAGACCGGGTGTCAGGAGAAGACTGCGCAAACTTGTGTGCCTCGGCAGCCAGAGACGCCCGGCAAGTCGCTGCTGTTTCGTCAGATTTTGCTGGTACCTTGGACAATTGCTGCTGCAGCAGCTCAAACTCCGCCAACATCTCCAATCGGTGGAGTTTCGGAGGAATGCCAAAATCCAAACCGCCGCACAGCACGTCCTTTTGTAGTTGCGTCAGAGGGATATCGGCAAGATTAATAATAGTATCATAATTGTCGCTACATGTGCCGAATCGGTCCTTTCTCAAGGCAGACACAATCCAAACGTGTTAACCGCACTTCGTCCATCAAGCAACATCTGTCAGCCCGTACCAATTGTCGTGAGTTGTACAGTGATAATGTGTTCTCAATATTGTCACGTGGTAGATGTGCGTTGCATCTGGCTGTGTTAGAAGCTTTGTATATCCGTAAGTTAGATCCTGAACTTTGCGTACAAAAAGAAAATGTGTTGTCGCTACAATTGTTTGGTGTTACTCCTCGTCGAGGTGTTAACAATGTAACTTAATTTGCTCACTATGTTCTTGTCGCTATTATTATGTCCTTCGAGTTTTGTGTCGTGCTGAACTTGATACTTTTTTCACCTTGTCACGAGTGTTGTTATCTCATATCTTTACGCTATATAAGTTTTAGTCTTTTCAACTTGAGCCATTCCCTGTATAATCCTTGATGAGAAGGGACCGAAAACGTTCGGATACTTTGACAAGTGCCTTATTTTGACTGGATGTGTGTTTGCGTGGATACTTACGACCTAACACGTACCTTCGTTATTATTATTATTATTATTATTATTAACTGGTTTGAGGGAAAGAGACAAACGGGAAAAGTCTGAAGAAAAAATTGACTGTCACCACCAGGACTCGAACCAGGGACCCTCGTTTGTAGCCAGCGATGCTCTAACCACTGAGCTATGGTGTAGTCGTCATCCCAGCAGAGGCCGTTCAACATTCTCTTCAGACTTCGTAACACACACTTCCTGTGAATCCACACAGGCGGGTGGGACGCAGCCCTCACTGTAACCCACACACTTCACGTACAAACTAGCACGCGGGGAGCCCCAAGTCATAAAATATTAACTGGTTTGAGGGAAAGAGACAAACGGGAAAAGTCTGAAGAAAAAAATTGACTGTCACCACCAGGACTCGAACCAGGGACCCTCGTTTGTAGCCAGCGATGCTCTAACCACTGAGCTATGGTGTAGTCGTTATTATTATTATTATTATTATTATTATTATTATTATTATTATTATTATTATTGTAAAATAGAAAAGGACATATGGATACGAGTTTAGAGTAACTCTCCATCACTGTAACATGATACTATATACAGTCAGAAAGTGCAATAACTAGGCACAAAACTGACAGAGTACTGAGACATTCGACGTCCTGACACCTAACTTTAACACATCTCCGTAGCGCTAACCGACAGCCTTCCAACTTGGAAGGTTCAAGGTTATGGAAAAGACCAAAGAGGGGAAGGCAAGCGCAACGAAAACGAGCAAAAGCCACAGTCCCAACGGAACAAAGAATGTCGATTGTTACTGGACGATGACGAGACCAGTACGATATTTGACAAAGCGGTCTAACTACAATTCGAAGCAGCAAAGCAGCACACCACCCAACTTGGGTGGGTCATAAATATCAAAGATAAGTAAAGAAAGGGAAGCTTTGCGAAAACGAATTGTACAAGCCGAAAGCCAAACTCCTACAGTACTCCTTTCTGACTGTATATAGTATCATGTTACAGTGATGGAGAGTTACTCTAAACTCGTATCCATATGTCCTTTTCTATTTTACATTTATTTATGGCTCAACATCCGAGTTTCAAATTATTATTATTATTATTATTATTATTATTATTATTATTTTTTTTTTTTTTTTTTTTATGGTGCAAGCCTCTTTTACGGGCAAAAATTAACACAATGTATTAAAATGCAATACAACATACACTGGAGAAGAAATCAGGAAAATAAAATATGAGCTCAAAAATGGAACGAAAAATAGCAAATAGAATCAAAACTCACGATGGAATCAAACTCACGATGGAATCAAACTCATGATGGAAACTACAACCCAATGAGTTGAATTATTATTATTATTATTATTATTATTATTATTATTATTATTATTATTATTATTATTATTATTATTATTAACTTAGAAGTGTCAAGTTCGGCAAGAAGCGTGTGCTCCTCGTTGGAGCAACCAACTTCATTATTATTATTATTATTATTATTAAGAAAGGGTTTGCTCCCCACACCGGAGCACGCGCTATTCCGCCGACTTTACTTGACACTTGACTGACTCACGACTGCTATCCAGAGCACACGAGAAGTCCATCGAACCTTCGACTCGGCAAACCTGCAAGAAAGCACCACTCCCTGCTCAATACACAGTGTTTCGGGGAATTCACCCCTCATCAGTTGAGCTTGAGTAGGCTGAGGAAGATTGTGCCTGAAGAGCACCACTTATATAGTGCTCTCCAGGCACAAACATCACCAGGGATACAAACTTACAGAGACGCTCCGCTTCCAGCGCGACAAACACCTCGTGAACACCAGATAGCAGCGTGAGTCAGTGTCGCTCCTGGACGGTGAGACAGACGTCGAGGACCCTCGGTCATTCGCAACGCTGTCACCTCCAAACCAACTAGTCGCAAGCCCGCGCTGGGCACAACAGTACGAAGTAGTGGTTGCGACTTCGGCGATGACTTGTAAGAAAGGGTTTGCTCCCCACACCGGAGCTCGCGCTATTCCGCCGACTTTACTTGACACTTGACGTGTGGGGAGCAAACCCTTTCTTACAAGTCATCGCCGAAGTCGCAACCACTACTTCGTATTATTATTATTATAAAGAATGGAGCCACTCATAAAGCAGCCTCCCCCTCCACACTGACCAGAAGGACAGTGCAGAACGGTCATCAATCACCAGCACTCTTGCATCCAAACATGGATGCTGTCGTGCTGGTGCGCTTCCCGCTCAGGGGAGGATGCTACATGTCATCCTCGTGGCTTATGCGGTTGTCTTTGTAGGAGAACAAAGACGGGATACGTACTATAGAAATGATCCTAGTGAGTACGATCTTGATTTTCAACCAGCACTCAGCTTCACTATGAACATATTCTGACTCTAGTGTTCATCATCACCCATTCTACATCAGCCATTCATGAGCTACTAACACTACCAGACCGTGCCGTGCCAACAACAACACCACAACAGTACGGCAGAAAAGTTCCGCGGCATAATCCATCGCCTCTAATACGTCTCACTGTTGTCATGGTTATGCCCTTTGGGTTCTCCTTTCCCATTCCTCGGCAGTCGGTAGGAATTCCCAAACAGACACACACCAAGGCAAGGGTGTTAGAACTGGTGCGGCAGATGCAGCATTTACCGCAGCAATAAATGTACTTATCTTGTGCCTCTCGAAGCAATAAATTTGGCCCCAATTTTAAATTTCCACCCACTTTTGTCTGTCTTTCGTGCACACAAAGACTGTAACGGAATCACAGCCATTCCGTTCCCCGGGACGCAGGACACAAAGGACAAGACTGGTTTGTATTACATTATTTATATTGACAAGACGGAAACGGAGACAACACTCAAAGGGACGATCAAGAAGACTGACAAAAGGACTCTCGACTACAAAATCGCGCATGCTCATATCACACATGCACGCGACTAGACGAGACAGTTTGGGGAATGCCATCACACAGGAAAACAACACATCATTTTACAACAAGACTATAATGCAAAAAAAGATGGTCGTCCCCGGGTGGGCTTGAACCACCAACCTTTCGGTTAACAGCCGAACGCGCTAACCGATTGCGCCACGGAGACAAGTTGCTTTAGCAAGTGGAGATGATAGTCTCTGTTGCAAAAGAAGGAACCACACACGGGATCCGAACCCAGCACCTCCTGTATCTTACCAGGGAGTCGGGGACAGTGCAATACCAAGCAGGCTACTGGGGATCTCAACCACACCCATGGCCAGTTCTTGCTACCGTATTTCTCCGATTATAAGTCATACTCGATTATACCGTAAAGTACCGCCAGAGCGCCCCGTCTCGCGAGAGCGCCCCACCTTGATTTTACAGCCAAGGGAAGAAAATCGTATGGCAGAATGCTACTAAGTTTGTACGATGTGAGAACCTTAGTGTACTACGGTCACACTTGGCATGTTTTCATGTGGAGCTCGCATCCGCTCGAAGGTAAACTGGATACGGATTGACTGCAATGTGTGTACTTCAAGGTTCGTGTCGTATGACCTACAGACAGGAAACCACCTCCACAAGACGACCACGAGAGGAGGAGATGGTGGGGCGCTCTGGCGGTACTTTACGGTAGTTCACAACCCCATTTCAGGTCTGACCCATAATTGTTTCAATATACATGCATTGACATCACAAGGAAGTCAGGTTCGATTGCAAGTCGCACCCCCTTCTTTGCTCTTGGAGTTTAGTGTAAAATGGGGCGACTTACATTCGGGGAAATACGGTTCATGCATATGCCCGATGGATCCGGTCCGGTTGGTCAGGCCATGGCGAGACTAACTTTTGGCCGCCAAAATGCGTTTGCTGCTGAAGAAGTCATGACTGTATATTCCCTCAATATCATACACAAAGCATGTTAGGCTAGGTAGGGTACTGCAAGTCAACAAATATTCGGCGCGTATTTATTTTCAGCTATTTTCGGCCTGGTTGTCTTTGGCCGAAAATTTGATGCGGCCGAAATTTTGTTTAAGCCCTGGCAGGCCAAAATTTGAATGGGCCGAAAATTTGCAGGCTTACAGTATAGGCGGACACATCAAAAACTGCTTTCACCGGTCCTGTGAATCTAAGCCCGCCAGCTTGCTTACCATATATAAATATGCTGCGGGGGCCGTTGTGAAGTGTTTCTTGACACGCTGCATTCCTCTCAGGTAGCATCAACCGATTAGCCGAGAAGCTAGGAGCTGACTGGACCACGTGCATCGTGCCCGTCCACGACAGTCACTCCAGAAAATTAATGTCACAGACATGCTCTGCGAGAGAACTATGCCGGAAACAGCCAACAAAAGGAAGAAAACAGAACAACGCGAGTCAATCGGAGAGCTAAGCCGGTTACCGTGGTCACAGACAGAACTCTTCAATGAAAAAAAGTAAGCGCCCAACGTGGGGCTCGAACCCACGACCCTGAGATTAAGAGTCTCATGCTCTATCGACTGAGCTAGCCGGGCTGCATATTATTTCTTAGCCCGTGGTCTTCAGGGAAAACCGGAAAGGTACGTAGTAGGGAGGTTTCGCTCTACGTAATTACATATGAAAATCCGTATGTCGTACGCGCCGGGGAGCGAGGGCAACTTTCATACGTAAATCTCTCTACGGATTTCCGTAGGAAAGCTCTTTCCTACGTTGGGTCCTCCGTAGGACTTTTGAAATATTTTTTCGCATTTTCGGCATTTGTCCATGGTAACGTTCAAGCCGCGCGAAACACAAGGTACACACACCGTACACCACGTGCAAAATAAAATAGAAAACGCGGTTTCGGTTCATGGTGCATGCGGTGGGCGCATGCAGCCAACGCGTCTCCAAAGCAACTTTAGAGGTCGGGGAACCCGAATTTAATGTGTGCCTCTAATTCACACAAATTTACAGAAAACCACTCGATTTTTAATGGTAGGATTCTTCCATATCCCACACAATCAACTGAGTAAGTATGATGCCAAAGTAACTGCCTATTAACCACAGAAAAGCATTGTGCATGACCGAGAAACCAAACAACCAGTCAACTGCATACCTGTAAAACTCTCTGCCCTGGGGTGAAGAGCGAGGCCTCAATAAAAAGGGAGGGCGGAATTTCTCTAATTCTGGCGCCAGAATTGCACAGTCGGTGTGTTACCAGTCTGGTCATGACTCAAGCGTGTGAAGAGCCTCCCTTGTTTGTGACGTGACATGAATAAAATTGATGAATTGCAAAAAGAGATGACGTACACCCTCGCGCGCACGTGGACCCAGCATCGCGCACACGCCGGCCAGGGAGGCTCTTCGCACGCTTGAGTCATGACCAGACTGGTAACACACCGACTGTGCAATTCTGGCGCATCCATGTTTGGATACAAGAGTGCTGGTGATTGATGACCGTTCTGCACTGTCCTTCTGTCCTTCTGGTTGTGAATTCCAGTCGTTCGTTTACAAGGCCGGAATCCGCTCATTCTGGTCATTCCAGAATTTTAAAAAACAGTTCCAGAATTGCGTAAACGTGTAATCGATAGCGCCCAATATAAGCCAGCATGGACTGGAAAACATGAGTACTTTTTTCCTTTCATTGAAATATAAAGGAGCCACTCATAAAGCAGCCTCCCCCTCCACACTGACCAGAAGGACAGTGCAGAACGGTCATCAATCACCAGCGCTCTTGCATCCAAACATGGATGCTGTCGTGCTGGTGCGCTTCCCGCTCAAGGGAGGATGCTACATGTCATCCTCATGGCTTATGCGGTTGTCTTTGTAGGAGAACAAAGACGGGATACGTACTATAGAAATGATCCTAGTGAGTACGATCTTGATTTCCAACCAGCAGTCAGCTTCCCTATGAACACATTCTGACTCTAGTGGTCATCATCACCGCTTCTACATCAGCCATTCATGAACTACTAACACTACAACACCATGCCAATAACACCACAACAGTACGGCAGAGAAGTTCCGCGGCATAATCCATCGTCTCCTGATGTAACGTCGCAATGTTGTCATGGTTATGCCCTTTGGGTTCTCTTTTCACAATCCTCGACAGTTGGTAGGAAATTCCAAACAAACACACACCATGGCAGGGGTGTCGAGACCGGTGCGGTAGGTGTCACATTTGCCGCACCAATTTTTGATTTTGAAGAAATAAAATATGGGGGGGGTATTTGACCCCAATTTTCCAAAAACATTCCTCCAACTTTTTTCTCTTTGCTGCGCACAAAGAATATTCCCAAAAAAAAGGAGATGGTCGTCCCCGGGTGGGCTTGAACCACCAACCTTTCGGCAAGAGTACATGAAAACCAGAGTGTGCAGCTCGGATGGGTTGCTGTCACGGCGAAATTCCGTGATTACATCATTTTAGTGATGTAGTGCGTACAAGCAGGATTCAAGCAGGTCTCTTTCTGCACAACTGCAGCTCAGTTGTACGCACTACGCCACTTCCCGCCTCAGATCTGGGCCAAATATGATGTAATCACGGAATTTCGCCGTGACAGACACCCATAGCAGAAAAGGCCCCAAGCTGCACACTCTGGTTTTCATGTACTCTTGCTTTCGGTTAACAGCCGAACGCGCTAACCGATTGCGCCACGGAGACAAGCTGCTTTGGCAAGTGGAGATGATAGTCTATGTTGCAAAAGAAGGAAGCACGCATGGGATTCAAACCCAGCACCTCCTGTATCTTACCAGGGAGTCAGGGATAGTGCAATACCAAGTAGGCCACCGAGGATCTCGCCCACACCCATGGCCAGTTCTTGGTACACGGTATTTCTCCGATTATACGTCACACTCTATTAAAAGTCGTACCCCCATTTTCAGGTCTGGGGACTGAGCCAAACATTTTCAATATATTCACATGACTAGGAAGCGAGGATCGATTGTAAGTCGCACCCCCTCTTTACTCTTGAAATTTAGTGTAAAACGGTGTGCGACTTACATTCGGGGATATACGGTACATTCACATGCCCGGTGGACTCGGTCCGGTTGGTCAGGCCATGGACGGACTGACTTTTGGCCACCAATGTCAGGCAGTGGCGTCGGAAGGTAATTTAGTGTGGCACGGTCAGCCAGCTGAAGTACAATTTACTCGTGGGGGAGCGATGGCTGAGCCAAAAATTTTGGAAAATCAAGAGCCTAAATTAGTGCATTTTCTTGATTCACGGAGTACCTGGGGCAAATATTGGTACGGTCAATACCGTAGTGGCCGTACCGTGTGTGACGCCCCTGAATGAGTGTTTCCCGTATGTCACATGACTGTCGCCTTGGAGTCGACCAATGACAGATCAAATTACGCGGGCTGGAAAGCGCGATCCTGCCTGCTGAATGTTGATGGAACTAGTTTCACTGGCCGTCGTCACTTCACGACGGGCAGTGGACAGAATCCACTGCCCTTCGTCACTTGACGGTGGGCAGTGGACAGAATCCACTCATGAGTCTACCATTTCAATGACAAGCTTCTGTGGTCTGAAAGTACATGCAAAAGTCATGTACTGTAGTCTGTGTACGGTTGTCGAAGTCACTCTCACTCAGCTCACACAGAGTCACAGCCTCATACAGGACTCGAGTCACAGAATGGTTCATGTAAACTCAAACAACAAAGATTGTGAGTGATCTCCTTGGCTTGGGTGCATACGGGAAACACGTTCCAGTCACTCATTCTCGGTCAGTACCGCTGCTCATCCAGCCCTTGCCGCTATCGCGGCACGGGCTGGATTCCGCGGTACTGCCCTCATACCCGTGCAGGAACCTGTACTTACTGCTGAAGAGGTCATGTGTATCCCCTCCACATCATACATAGCATGTAAGCCTAGGTAGGGCATGGCCGGACAAATCAAAACTGCTTTCGCCGGTCCTGTGAATCTAGACACGCCAGTTTGCTTACCTTATAAGTTATAATATGCTGCGGGGGCTGTTGTGAAGCATTTCTTGACACGCCGCCTGCCTCTTGGGTGGCATCAACCGATTAGCCGAGAAGCTAGGAGCTGACTGCACCACGCGCATCGTGCCCATCCGCGACTGTCACTCCAGAAAATTAATGGCAAGGACGTGCTCTGCGAGAGAACTATGCTGGAAACAGTCAACAAAGGGAAGAAAACAGAACAATGCGAGTCAATCAGAGAACTAAGCCGGTTACCGTGGTCACGAGATCGAACTCTCAATGAAAAAAAGTAAGCGCCCAACGTGGGGCTCGAACCCACGACCCTGAGATTAAGAGTCTCATGCTCTACCGACTGAGCTAGCCGGGCTGCATATTTCTTAGCCCGTGGTTTTCAGGGAAAACCGGAAAGGTACGTAGTGAATGGTACACACAAGTGTCCCGCCTATAGTTATACTGAAGATATTAATAGAGAGGTTCCGCTCTACGGAATTACATTAAGCGGGATTCACAGAAGTATTTTTGTGATGCGACGGCCGTGAAACTGGGAAATCCCCAAATCGTAGCCACCTTGCAGCCCACGCAACTGCCGCAACTGCGATGCGACAAGCGATGTGGCGTACAATTTTGACCTTTTCTGCAGCAAAGTCGTACAAAGGTTCAAGAGTTGCCTGTAAATGTGTACAGGTTGTGCCAAACTACGCGAATACCATGGTGACGTACCCACCTGCATTGAACTTCGCGCCAAATCAGCAAGGCGTCGTCGCATCGCTGACTTCTTCTAAGAATGGAATTTCGCGAGTTTGCATCTCACGCCTCCGTCGCAGATCGCGTCGCAACGTCCATCGCATCGCAAAAAAGCTTCTGTGAATCCCGCTTTACGCACACTGCATGCAGATCTGTGTTCTGCAATACAGAGTTTTCAAATAATGTAGCTGACCTTGTCAACTCTACACGCGGCAGTGTACGGCTGGATAAAGAGTCTTACATTTATACCCCAATTCTCTTATGGAGTACCTACGTTATCAGAGCCCTATCTACGTACTCTACGTAGCCAACTTTCCGTAAGCGGAGTGCAAACTCGCAAATTCACGGGTTTTCCCGCCCACTTACGTAGAATGGCTCAACTAATTATAGTGCGGAAGCCGTACGCTGCACAGCTGGCCCGTAGAAAGGGATCGAAATCGGGAACTCCCGGTTGTGGACTCTTACACCATGATGGTTCAATCGAAGAAAAGAAGAAAAAAGTTTGCCGTGCCAGACACATAAGGAGATCTGTACAATCCGGATTCAATTCGGGAGGGGTGGTGGGGGGGGGGGGGGGGCATAAAAGTTGTTGTGGTCCCTGGAACAAACATCGTTCATTGGTACGTGCGCGGGGGGGGGGGGGGGGGGTAAGCCAAAATCGCAAGCCGACCGACGCTGTACAGGTGCGTGTGAATATATGCACTTTCCGTCATCCAACATAGCAAGCTGCGCTCATTTCGGTGGGGGGGGGGCAGAGTATGGAATGAATATGGTAAAACAAATGTTGCGCCGACTACGTCGGGCTTTGTAACATGGGAAATTGTGGGCACAAGTTATGCGATCGAGTCCACCAACTAAACCAGATTTTGAACAGTCAGACGTGCACAATCTAGCACAAAACTGACAGGGAGTACTGAGACATTCCACGGCATGAAAGTCAGCTTGAGCACTGCTCGATAGCGCTAACCAACGGCCTTCTAACTTGGAAGGTTCATGGATATTAGTGCTAATTCCAAAGAGGGGAAGGACAACGCCATCGAGCCGAGCGCAAGCTGCACTCCAAGGCTTCGGGGAATGCTGGCCTGGGATGATGACGGGACGGCAAGACCAGACAAAAACGGTCAAACCACAATTCGACAACGCAAAGCAACATCCACCCAACAACGGGCTTTGGTCAGTCTTATGTAAGGCTCAAACGGTTAGTCCGATTAACCGCTTGCAGACCGGTTACAAAGAATTAACGGTTAACCGATAAAGATAACGGTTACGCAGTAACTTTTTCAGTCAATTTTTTCAAGTATCAGGTCGTTGCAAAGTATGCCCTTTCGCAGGCTGTCGCACGCGTACGCAATTTCTGGGCTGTCAACTCGGTCATATCTGGTCTCTTGGTGTGAGAGTATGTATGAATGAGCATGCAAGAGAATGTACATGTGTGCGTTGTACTGAATAGGGTACATTTTTTGAATGAGTATGGTCAAATATACGGTTAAAAAAGAGTCCGCAGGATTGCCGTGGCTTATAGGTTTTAACCGTTAAACCGACCGTTAGCTTCGCAGTTAACCGTTGGGGGTAAAACCGTGACCGTTTGAGCCCTAGTCTTATGATTTAGAACATCATAAGCCAGCATTAGAGAGGTTCTGCACTACGTAAAGTTGAGCAACTTTACGTTAGTGGGCGGGATAAACCCGTGAATTCGCGAGTTTGCACTCCACTTGCGGAAAGTTGTCTACAGAGAGTGTAGACAGGGTTCTGATAACGTAGGTGCACAGATTCGCATGCAGTTTACGTAAGACTTTCCGTAGATCGACTACGTTTTTTACCAAGAGTACATAAACCAGAGTGTGCAACTCGGGATGGTTCCTGTGGGAGCGTAATTCGTGCAGTACGTCATTTCTGACGGCATGGTAAGCCACAGGTACGGTGAAAAGTTGCGTAACCAGTCGCGGTGGTGCAGGTCACTGAGTTTGTCCTGATTTCGGTTTTTTGATACGGACAGCCTGGTGACTTTACTTGTCGGTGGATGTACGCAGTGTACATAGTGACACAAAACACCGAAATCCTGAAACTGGACGTCTAAAATCAAGCAAACGTGGCTGATTTCCGGGCTATGAAACATGAAAATTTGAGCTGTACGCAAGTCGCAGCTTGGCTGACCTCATCAGGGTGACGTAGTGCACGAACTGCGCTGTTTCCGATCTGATATGCACAGTTGCACACTCTGGTTTATGTACTCTTGTTTTCACTAACGCAATTACGTTATGCGGAACCTCTTTAACCCTTTACCGTTTGTACGTACAAATTTCGACCGCTCGCGGTCGATGACTTCTATGCGCACAGCGCTGGACTGGTTCACCGCAGAGAGCTGGGATTTTCCCTACTGGTAGCCAAGATGTACACGCAGAGGGTGCCAACAATTTTTTGTGTGATGCAATATAAAAAATCGCGGAAATCGCGACTTGAAAAAAGCGCTTTGGGAAAAGTGCGTACCTGCGACTTTTGGTATTGCCTGCAGATGTTTTCGACTTTTGCTTGAGCTGGCCTCACGACTGTTTGCCCTGCTATGCAAGCCATGGACGCGGAGCAAGCTCTTTCGCTTCTGGAGACCCTTCCTGACGACCCTGTCGCTGCCTCATCCAGCGAAGATGAGTTTGTGGAGCCAGACAATCCTGTTGAAAATATTTATTCTGAAGACGACAGCAACGATGACATGGCGAGTGAAAGCAGCGCCAGTGAGAGTGACATGGATGTCACAGATGACAGTGTCGCTGAGATGAGTGCTACTAATGGTGGAAGGGGACGTGGCAGAGAGAGAGGATACGGCCGTGGGATAGGCTGTCGTCACGGTAGAGGTCGTGGTGCACAGGTACTAGGGAGGTTTAGTTCCCACGTAACGGAAACGCGTACGTGGGTGATACACGTAAAGTGGATGAAGGGCACCCACGTTGCAATGTTGTGTTTAGTCACACGGAACAAACAAAAAGCATGAAGCGAAAGGCCCAAACCTGGTCAAAGACGAAGCTACCCGGGCCTAAGAAGCTCATCGAATATTTTGATTTCGTGCTTCGGAAACTTCTTCAGCTGAGCACTCTCACAGCTCGCACAATGTGCTCCATTCTGATTTTCACCCACGTTTTGGCGGAACGTGGGTGAGCCTCCATACAGGGTATGTCGTGAATCAGAAAACGTCTGTACGTGGGTCACTGAGTATCACGTGGTACACACACGTAAAGTACCCACGGATTACGTGGGACTAAACCTCCCTACTATGTACAGCCAGCGGTGCAACCTGCAGTAGTCGATATTTGCAATACTTGGGACAATGCTGACACCGCTGTGACTGGTAACACTTCTGCATTCCACCCACAGAACGAACCTGGTATCCAGTTACCTGAGGGAGCTGTAGACATCTATTCAGTCACTCACAAGACAGCCATTGTGCTAAACAGATCTTCTTTAGTTCTCTATCAGAAGTGCGCCATGTCATCTCTCTCGTGCTATACATAAAGCGGTACAAGCACGGCATGCCTGCACGTGCGTACATAGTACTACATACAACTGCATGTACGATATCTACATTACCCCCCTTCCCTCAAAAAGAAAAAAAAAAAGAAGAAAGAGAAAAAAGGAAAACTAAAACAAACAAAAAAACACTTGCATCCGTATCCTGCAGCTTGCAGAGGAATGTACGTACATGTGTTGGAGTAAAAGAGAGACGGGAAGTGTTGCAACTATTAGAAATAATCTGACTCAAAACTTGAGGCAAAAACACCATGAGTTTGAGTTACAATGCAAACTCGACCAATAAGGGGAAAAAATAAAGAAAAATCTAAATATTCACAAGGTAGTTAGAAGATTCTAAACAACGCCAATCTGGTTAGAAGATTCTAAACAACGCCAATCTGGTAGCGATTGAAGCCACTCATTTGGTAATGCATGACTCGACGACTCAGATGTCAGCTTCACGTGCTTTCTCTGTAAGCTTGATCTGACGGCCAGCTCTGGTCTGTACGCCCTCACGGAATACACTTGGACGAGAAGTTGGCGGTGACAGTGACATACAGGCCGGTGTTGCAGGTGATGCTGTCGTCTCCGGTGAAGCTGCAGGAGACAACGGCAATGTGAGCGCAGTTACCGGAGCTTCGGGCCTGGATGTTGCGCTGCTCGCTGACGGAAGGCTTGTTGGGTCGGACACTGGCAGTGCTGGAGCACACACTGGCTCTGGCACATGCTCCCTCTCTGACTGTGCCGGAGGTTCACTCATGGGTGCTTTCTCCGCTGCTGCTGCTGCTGGTGCTACAAACTCGGTAACATGCTGACGGTTCCGGAGCAGTATGCGTGACCCATCAGTGACCCCAACCTGACGACCATACTGCTCTACTACCTTCCATTCTTTTCGAGGGTCGCTGTACCCATCATGGAGCACTACCCGCGTACCTGATGGCAA